TCTGGGTTGGGAAGATCTTTCGGAGGAGGGCGTGGCTACCCACTCCAGTATTCCTGTCTGCAGAATCCCAGGGACAGAGGAGCCTGGCAGGGCCACAGTCCACAGGGTCTCAGAGTTGGACACGACTGAAGTGACTTAGCCCGCATGTACTCCTGGCTGTTTTCTGCTCCTGGAAAGCTCTGGACTCTGTGGCATCCTCCCCCATCCCCCAGCCCTGCCCAGGCCCAGGCCCCGTCATCTCACATCTGAAGCCTCAGAGCTTTCTCTTTTCTCATCGGCCTCGCCCATCCCGGGGTTCCCTTCACACTTTAGTAAGAGCAAGTCTGCTTGCAGGCAAATCTGAGTCGGCCGTGTCTGTTCTGACCCCACTGCGGTTGGGAGGCCCTGGTCTGACCGGCCTCTGGAGGCCACACTCACCGGGGCACCCTTGCTCGGGTGGGTCCTGGCCCCGTGCTTCTCGGTGAAGCTGGTCTCTCATGCCTCTGCGCCTCCGCACATGGCGCTTCCTTTCCTGGCTCAGGTTTCTGCTCATAACGCAATAGTGGCGATAGTGACAGTGGCCTCGGTGGGTTAATATATTCGGCCTGTGAGGAGAGAGCGGCAACTCTTGCCTCACCCCTGGGGCCATCCCTTCCGCGTGAGCCACAGCAGGGCCTCTGGCTTCAGGAGAAGAAGCCACGCCCCTTGAAAGGTGAACACCGTTTCCACCTGGGGCCCAGGTACGCTGATTCTCACTCAGCGCGTGTCCACACTGGCCCATAGGGCAAGTGGGCGCTCCTCTGTGTGGAGTGGCTCAGAGAGGCTGAGCGAGCGGCCCCAGGGCACACGGCAGAGCCCCAGACATGCTGGGCCGGGATGCAGGCCTGGGGGCTGGGCCCTCCACCCGCCCCCTCCCCAGCTCCTAACACGTGTGCCCCAGCTGGGCTCCTGGGGAAGTGGGCACTCATGGCCCGTGCTGTTGTCCAGATCCTGGGAGCCTCACACGGGGCGTGGCGGTGGACATGGCATGTCCCCTTTGCAAAGGCTCGCATCACGTCCACGGTCACCGCCTGCTCTTGGGAGTGGCCTGCTGCCTGGGTAGGCATTCTGGACCTTTCTGGAGCCAGTCGAGATTCCTGACTATGGTGAGGCTTCCCTGGTGAGGGAAGAACCTTGGAACTCAGCCAGCCCTTCAGGGGACAGGCCGGCGAGCAGGTGGGAGTGGTGTATGTGTGCGTGGGGGCCTCCACGCACCACGTTCCACCCCCCGAGTCGTGATCAGCCTGGCTCTCTATACCCACTGGTCCCCTCTGACAGTACCTACTGCCCTGGGCTCCTGGTGTAGACAGTTCAAGTCCAAGTGTGTTCATTGTGAATGCCAGCACACAGTAGGACGCAAGGTTGTTAAAAGGCTGATTCCTCCTGTTCTGACCTGTTTGGCGTGAGAATTTGGCTTAACCACGGAGGCCGCATGTGTGCTGGGTGGGTGTGCATGCGTGCTAAGTCACTTTGCACCCTGACTCTTTGCAACCCTATGGACCCTGATCTGCCAGGATTCTCTGTCCATGGGATTCTCCAAGCAAGAATACTGGAGTGGGTGGGCATGCCCTGCTCAAGGGGATCTTCCCAACCTAGGGATCAAAATCACGTTTTTTTATGGTCTCCTGCATTGGCAGGTGGGTTCTTCACCATTAGCGCCACCTGGGAGGCACTGGGTGAGTGGCTGGTGTCAGAGATAACAAAGCCGGCCACCGGCCACAGTGTCAAGGACAGATTTCAGCCATAATAACTGTAGCAGTGGAAAGAGTCCAGTGTGTCCCGACCTTCACTTGCGCATGTGCAGAGGTGACTGGGCATCTTACAGGGAGGGGGAGGTGGGGTCAGGGGTGTGTGAAAATTATAGCAAGTGGGACAGGAAGTGGGTCCATGTGATGGCCTTCTGGGTTTGCTGACAGTGCTTCTGGATTCAAGCCCTCCCCTCCCACGCAAGCCAGGACATGGGCCCACCTCGGGTGTGGGATCAGCCAGTTCTGGCCAGCCTTCAGCTCCCCGGGGAAGGCTCTTCAAGGCGGGCCTGAGATCCTGCTCAGGAGGTGGCCTTGAGCCCTTAGAAACGATGATGGTATTTGGCCACGTCCTTGCCTGCCGAGGTTGAGGCCTAAGAAAGCGCTCCCGGGAGGCTGCCTCTAGCTAGGCCCAGGAGGGAATCTTTGTCACCAGCCAGGTGGGGGTTTGGGATTCTCATTGGGGTGAGCCTCCGTGGAAGAGGGGCCTTCAGAGCCTCTATTTTGTCCCCCATCCACAGAGACTGCTGTGCGTGGGACCAGATGAGATCCCAAGAGGGTAAAAACAACTGAAAGTGTTAGTCGCTCAGTCGTGTCCGACTCTCCGGCATCCCATGGACTGTAGCCCGCCAGGCTCCTCTGTCCATGGAATTCTCCAGGCAAGAATACTGGAGTGGGCACACATTTCCTCTCCTGGAGATCTTCCCAACCCAGGGATTGAATCCTGGTCTCCCATGTTGCAGGAAGATTCTTTACCGTCTGAGCGACCAGGGAAGACCCAAGAGGGTAAAGATACCTGCTATGGGCTGAATTGTGTCCCCAGAGTCACATGTTGAAGCCACTGCCCCAGCGGGACTGTATTTGGTTTCTGAACCATCTCTCTGCTCCCTAGGAGCAGCCCTGTACTCCTAACCCAGTGCTCGTTCTTTTCAGGAAAGTTAAGGTCAAGTGTCAGTTGGTCACTCGTGTCCAACTCCTTGTGACCCCATGGACTGCAGCCCGCCAGGCTCCTCTGTCCGTGAGATTCTCCAGGCAAGAGCACTGGAGTGGGGTGCCAGCTCCTTCTCCGGGGATCTTCTCTACCCAGGATCAAACCTGGGTCTTCTGCATTTCAGGCAGATTCTTTGCCATCTGAGCCATCAGGGAAGTCACAGCCAGAAATGAGACATTTTCATCAAGAGAAGTGAGGCTTACCAATGATCTCTCTTGGTGCACTTTAAGAACTTAAAGCCTTTTCAACCTCCCGAGACTGTGTTTGGAGACAGAGGCTTTCAGGAGGTGATTGAGGTGAAATGAGGCCATAAGGTTGGGGCCCATATCCAAGGGGTTAGTGCCCTTGTAGGAATGGACACCCGAGCTGGCTCTCTCTTGGCCTTGAGAGGACACAGTGGAAGGAGAAACCGACCAGAAACCTCACCAGAAACTGACCCCGATGACACCTTGATCTCAGACGTCTGGTGAGAAAATACATTTCTGATATTGAAACCCCTTGATCTGTTTGCAGTATTTTGTTACATGACAGGCTGGGCTGAGACGCAGACAGTGACTAATGACAGACTGACAGGCAGGAGGGAGAAAGAATTCGAAATTGGCCAAACCCAGAGGCTTCAGCTGTGTTTTCTCCTGATGAGAAAGACCCAGCAGAACACTTGCTTTTGCTAGATAACAGTGTTGGTCTCCAGATGTGGCTTCATGCGGCTCTGAGCAGCTAAAGGAGAAGGGGAGGCTGCAGATGCCAAGACGAATGTCCTGGCATGAGGCCCCAGTCTGCACACGGGCCCCCCAGAGCTGCAGGGAGGAGCTGAGGGAGCCGGGGGGCCTGGGGGGGCCGGCCTTCCTGTGGCCACCCACGGCCCCCCTCTCCCCAAGGGGGCTGGAGCAGGGCTATTGGCAGATGAGGTGGGCTTGTCACACACCAGGCGGAGTGGGTGCCCCTCTGAGGGGGCTTTTCAGGTCTCCTGGAGAGAGGGCCTCCTGAGCCTCGGGTTCTGACGTCTGTCACCAGCAGCAGCAGCAGCTTTGGGAAAGCGAGAGCAGTGGCATGCTGGGTGCTGGAGGCTGCTGTGATTTCTCTGGGCGAAGGGCCCAGGGCAGAGGGGTGCAGCCCCTCTTCCGTCACCAGGGCCCCAGAGGGCGTGTCAGCATCCTAGGGCTGGCAGAACAAGTTGCCACGAAGTGGGGGCCTTAAGACCACAGAGATGTGCCTTCCCGGTTCAGGAGGCCAGGAGCTTGACACCAGGCTTATCCCGGGCGGCTCCTCTGGAGGTTTGGAGAGAGGGTCCATCCCAGGGCCCCCTGCAGCTCCCGGTGGTGTTCTCAGAGCCGCTTGGTTTGGCCTCCACGGTCTCCTCCGTGTTTCTGTGTCCTTGAAGTGAAAGTCGTTCAGTTGTGTTCACTCTTTGCGACCCTCTAGACTGCAGCCCCGGAGAAGGCAGTGGCACCCCCCTCCAGTACTCTTCCCTGGAAAATCCCATGGATGGAGGAGCCTGGTGGGCTGCAGTCCATGGGGTCGCGAAGAGTCGGAAACGACTGAGCGACTTCACTTTCACTCTTCACTTTCATGCACTGGAGAAGGAAATGGCAACCCACTCCAGCGTTCTTGCCTGGAGAATCCCAGGGACGAGGGAGCCTGGTGGGCTGCCGTCTATGGGGTCACACAGAGTCGGACACGACTGAAGCAACTTTAGCAGCAGCAGCAGCAGACTGCAGCCTGCCAGGCTCCTCTGCCCATAGGATTCTTCCGGCAAGAATACTGGAGTGGGTAGCCATTCTGTTATCCAGGGGATCTTCCCGATCCAGGGATCGAACCCGGGTCTCCTGCATTGTGGGGAGATTCTTTACCATCTGAGCCACGAGGGAAGCCCCTAGGCCCACCTTTCTCATGTTAGGACCCCTGTTGTTGGATTAAAGTGAAAGTGAAGTCGCTCACTTGTGTCCGACTCTTTGAGACCTGGTGGACTGTTGCCTACCAGGCTCCTCCATCCGTGGGATTCTCCAGACAAGAATACTGGAGTGGGTAAGGGCCCACCTAAATCAAGATGAACTCATCTCAAGACCTGAATTACACCTGTAGGCAAATCCCATCTGTTCTCAAATAAGCTCATAATGGCAGGTTCTGGGGGTTAGGATGTGGGCGTATCTTTCTGGGGCCCCCATTTAACCCTGCTCCAGAGGGCAGGGAATGGAAGGATCTGTTGTGAGCGTGGTTTACAGGGCTATGCCGGGGTGAGGGGCCCCATGGGCCAAGAGAGGTGTGCCCGCTCTGTAACCACATCTGAGCCCGGGAATAACGAGGTGAGTCAGCACCCTGATACCGCGCTGGCCTCCAGACCCGCCGGCCTGGCTGACAAGCAGCTTGGTGGTGAGGCAGATGCGTGAGTGTGGTAGGGATGGTCTGTGGGTGCAGGAGGTGAGGAGGAGCTGCCAGGCAGGAAGGGGCAGGGGTGGGGGCCGGTGTGTTCCGGACCCGAGGGAACCGCCCGGCGAGGCCAGAGCGAGGAGCCATAGAGCCGGTTCCTCGGAGGTCAGCGTGGGTGAGCGAAGCGGCTGGCGTCTCCTCCGCCCTCCACTCACTGTCCTCCTGGCGGCCGACGGCCTGCAGCCAGGTGGGGTGACCACAGGTATTTCTGAGGCTGGACGCAGGTTTTCAAGGGGAAAGGGGGTGGGTTGAGTTGCAGTGGTGGCCGGGGGGAGGGTGACTGTTGGAGTGGGTTCTGACTGGCTGCAGGAAATGACCTTGTCCAGCTCCCAGGCCGCTGGCCTGCCGGTGAGCCGGGGCCAGAGAGGAGGGGCCGGGTCAGGTTCTCGTGATGGTTGAGAACCCAGCTCCCTGCTCCCGCCCGTGTCTCCTGGGGACACGCGGCAAAACCGGGACGGCGTGTGTTTCTCCAGGCCCCCTCTCGTGACAAGGAACCGGTGTCCCATTCGGCCAGCCCTGTCCCTTCCCACTTGGGTTTCATCTGAAAGCCGCAGGAGCACTGAATCCCGCCGTGGGGAGCGTGAGCATCCCAGGGGCCGGGGGACCCTCTGCGGGCTGCCCAGTGCTGCCCCGAGGGTCCATCCTGCAGTCTCTTTCAGACTTGCTGCGATTTGCCCCATAAAGAGATGGGCATGGAACAATGTTTCCGAAGCGAACCTCACACCTCCTGTCCGCCCCTCCTGGAGGTCACTCTGTCCTGGGCTGTCGGCCCGTGGATGCTGGGCTGCCTTAGTCCACGGGGTCAGGGGCCGGTGGGGTCTAGGTCTGACGGTTCCGCCATTCATGTCGTGAGGTTGATGCCGAGAAATTCTTGGTGTCCCCGAGGCTGACGAATGTGGCCACGGGGATGTCTTGGTGCCGGCCTGCTGGTGTGGGCCCAAAGACTTTCAACTGCGTGTCTTGCTACAGGTGGAATGAATCGTTGGGTCAAAAAAGCCATGCATTTAAAGCTTTGATGGAGGTAAAAAAAAAAATCACCGGCCAGTTAGGGTTGAGCCACACTGTCGCGACTCCTAGTGTCGGCAGCCTTCGCGATTCTTGCTGTCTGAGGAGCGAGGGCTTTTGACACGGCGGGTGTAGTCACGACGTGTCTCGATCCCCTGTTCTACCTGGTTCCCCTGCCCTGCCCCGAGGGCTGGGCTTGTCCTGACTCCCCGGCCTGTGACTCCCCACCCCGGTCCCCTCCAGGCCTCTCTCGTGGCTGTTTATCTGCTTATTCCTCGGTCTCCCCGTTTCGCTCCCGCCCCCCAGACGACTGTTCCAGGTGCCTAGTGCACATCTTCATTTCTATCCAGTGGGCACGGATCTTTTCGGGGCAGGGATTGTGAGCAAACTTTTAACTGAAAAATCACGCACATAAACATACATACAGAAAGGTGCACAGATTGTTAAGTGTGTGGCTAGGAGAGATTTTCACAACATTTATTAAACCAGTGTGATCAGCAACCCAGGTCAAGAAACAGAATGACACCATAACCCAAAGCCCCCTCACTCCCCTCCCTGTTGTACGGGGGCTGGTCTGTGAGGTTGCTTGTGGTTGGCTGTGGCTTTTGGTGAACACGTGTGTGCGTGTAAGTTGAATTCATGCCAGTGAGGTTGTGATGTGCAGCTGGCAGGGTTTTACCAAGTTCTGTGTTTTCAAATCTTTGTCCCTACTGCTCTGTACATCATGGAAATAAACAAAGACCGACAGAAGGAGACAGGCAAAGGCTGCTGGCTCGGAGCTGGCTGAGCCAGGGCTTAGCCTTGTCACTTGTGTTTGGCAGAGACTCAGAGGCAGGCAGAGGGGTGGGTGGGCTTCTTCCCAGTGGAAAGAAGGGGGCTCCGGGTGCCTGATGGAGCTGGGGGGCTGCCCAAAGTCGGGGTGGGGGCGCGTCCTAGGTGACTGTTCAGGGGGCAGTTGGGTCCTTCTCGTGCTGGTCCTGATTTGGGAGCATGATTAGGGAGGCCGTCTGGTATTGATCGAGTCCTGGCCGATTGTCATTGGCGTTGCTGTCCAGCTGCCTGGGCTGTCACCAGGGACAGGAGTCTGACTCCTGCAGGTCTGACTCACAGGCGTCTGGCTCCCTGGGCCCGCGGCTGAAGGTCGAGGGTCAGAGCTCTGCTTTCGCACGTGTCTGGCCCTCGTCTCCGTATTCATCCCCAGCCTTTTCTCTGCTGTTCCTCACCCTGCATCGTGCTCTTTCCCTGACCCACCACGGAGCCTGGGGAGGCCCCCAGGCTGCCTCCAACTCCTGACACCCCCCAGCGTGGTAGGGGGCAGGCTCACGTCGGGCCCTCGTGGGCCAGTGCGAGGATCTCTTTGGCCCACGTGAGCAGGGATGGATCACCGGTCACAGAGTAGTGCCCTTGGCCACCTAGAATCATCCAGAGGTCCTGGTGGCTTCAGCAAGTCCCCCATGGTGTCCCTGCACTGGGTGTGCCCCCCAGCTGGTCCAGATGCCACTCAGGGTGTCTCCCCATGTCCCAGAGTCAGAGCTGGGGCTCCAGGAGGAGACCGGAGACCAGCAGAATATAGAGAGGCGTCAGCAGCCAGGAGAGACACAGCGTAAGCCCTGGCCTCACCCGGGGGACAGGGGCTTCTCTGAGACAGGTGTTGTGATTCAGCCCTCCTGTCAATTTCTTACCCAGACTTATTTACAGTCACGTTGCAGCTGCATCTAGCACATGTTTAGGCAGCATCACGAGGTGGGGGGTAGGTGGGACTTCCCAGGTGGCGCTAGCGGTAAAGAATCTGCCTGCCAATGCCAGAGACATAAGAGATGCGGCTTCAGTCCCTGGGTTGGGAAGATCCCCTGGAGGAGGGCATGGCAACCCATTCCAGTATTCTTGCCTAGAGAATCCCATGGACAGAGGAACCTGGCGGGCTACCGTCCATGGGGTGGCAAAGAGTCGGACAGGACTGAAGCCACTTAGCACGGGGGTGGGTGGGGGGATTTGCTGTGCCAGAGTGGTGAGTTTTCTGTGCTGAAGACTTGACTCCAAGGTAATAGCAAGGCATCAAAAGAAGCCCCCTCTCTCTCCCTCTGATTTTTATTTTGAAACATTTAGAATCTCTAGAAAGATGGAAAGACTAGAACAATGTAACTGTGCTCTTCCCTTGGCCTGGTGATTGTATACACACACACACCACCCCCTGTACACTTTCCTATTTGCTGACCCTTTTGAGAGCAAACTGCAGACACTCTGCTCCCAAAGACTTTGGCCCACGTGTCCTCCAAGCGTGTCCTCCAACACAAGCGCATCATCATTGCATTAGCCAGGGTTCTTCAGAGAAACAGAAGTCATTCGATGGGGGTGTGTAGATGTATAGTATATACATGATTTTTTATAAGAACTGGTTCTTGTGATTATGGAGGTCAGCGGTCCAGAGTCTGCAGATGGGCCAGCAGGCTGGAGCCCCAGGAGAGTCAGTGGTGCCTGGGAGCCTCAAGGCTTTGCTGGAAGCCCCTGGGTCTCAGGGAGACAGGTTTGCTCTATTTAGGACTTCCACTGATTGGACGCAGCCCACCCACACAATGTGGGGGGGTGACCTACTTATCCCCAACTGACCAATATAACTGTTAATCTCATCCAGAACACCCTTCTAGCTGACACATAAAATTAACCATCACAACAGTAATCACCCTCCAGAAACTTAGTACGGATACAATGTTATTTTCTAGAATAAATTCATATTCAAATTTCCCCACTCATCCAAATAATATTCCTTATGGCTGATTTTTTATTTTTTTTTTAAGTCAAGATTCAATCAAGGATCACATTAGGGACATCCCTTGTGATCCAGAGGTTAGGAATTTGCCTTCCCATGCAGAGGATACAGGTTTGATTCCAGGTCAGGGAGCAAAGATCCCAGGTGCCTCATGGCCAGAATCCCAGAACACAAACAACAAAAGCAATAGCAATATTGTTATAGAGTCAATAAAGACTTTAAAAATGATTCACATAAAAATTTTTTGTTTTAAAGGATAATGCATTGCATTTAGTTGTCATGCCTTCTGGTCTGCTTTAACCTAACACAACACTATCCCAGCCCCCCATCTCAATGCCCCCGTAACACTGATGCTTCAGAAGAATTCAGACCACTTATTTTGGAGAGCATCCCTTGCTTGGGATTTGCTGACTGCTGCCTCACTGTAGATTCAGGTCCAACATCTGTTGCATCTTTCCCGGCACATCATGCCAGGAGGCACATGAAGCCACTGTGTCTTCCTTGCTGGCCTGCTTAAGGTCGTCTCTGCTTGGGTTCCCCAGTATAAAGATGCCTTTCCCTTGGTATTCATCAGTAGCCCAGCAAACTTCTGCCCTTTCCCCTCACTCTGCTCCGCCCTTTTCTCCCCATCTTAGTTCATGGTGACTCCATCCTTCCGGTAGCTTGGACCGAAGTCTTGGGTGTGGGGGGTCATCCTTGAATCTCGTCTTCTTCCTATGACCCATCTTCCACACGTCCGCCCTGCCTGTCCACTCGACCAGCCAAGGGTTTCCAGAGTCCTCCGTCCCGTGTCCCCTCTTCTCGCCGCTTCCATCCCGATTCAAGCCGCCACCCTCTGACACCCGAATTATGGAATTATCAGGGCTCCCTGCCTCCCTCCTATACCCCTCCTCTATTTTCAACTCAGCAGCCAGAGTGATCTTTTTAAAGCTCAAGCTGGAGCAAGTTAGTCCTGAGTCACAGGCCTCCAGTGGCTCCTGGGTCACCCAGACGTCACCCTGCTTCCTCTCGGATCGCGTCTCCTCCTCCTCTCCCGCCTGCTCACGTGTTCCGCCACCCTGGCCTCTGTGCTGTCTCTGGAACCCCCCTGAAACGCTCCTGCCTCAGGCCCTTTGCACTTGCTGTCTCCTCTGCCTAGAATGCCCTTTCCCCCAAATACCCACGTGGCTGCTTCTCTCACCTCC